AGGCGCAGCTGGAAGGGGGTGCAGCTGGCAGCCTGTTCCCTGTCCCCCCTGCCCAGAGCCCCCTTGCAGTGTCTGTGTGACAGCCAGAGCCAAGACCAGCAGAAGATTCCTCAGGCGCTTCAAGAGCTCGGCCAGCAGAGGGTAGGATTGGATTGGAAAGCAACAGAATCCCATCCCCACGGTGCTCTCAGGGCTGGGGATTTGGGCACGGTGGCTCAGGCAGTGCCAGCACAGCCAGGATCTTCTCTCCAGGGTGGGCATCACGCTGCCTTGCCGGGGGCACTCACCGTCCTGGCTGCTCGGGGTACTTCTGCTTCGTGTAGGCTTCCAGCGTGGCATAGACCTTCTCCCGCAGAGATTCCACTTCTGAGGGGCTGGACAAACCCTTGGCATCTGCTCAAGGGAGGAAATACAGGTGGGGAAGGGATCTCTGCAGAGGGGGTGTTTGTGCTGTGTGCACGGGCAGGAGAGGGCTGGGACAAATCTCGGTCTGCTGGGAGCTGTCCCTGCCCATTGCAGCGGGTTTGGAATGATGTGATCCTTGAGGAACCTTCCAACCCAAAGCATGAAATCTGTCTGCAGCCCTGATGCTCAGTGTCTCAGTGACCTGCTGTGGCCCAGAGGGAGTGCTTGTCACCTGGGACTGTCCCCAGCCTCTGGCTTACCTGGGTTAAACAGGACAATGGCTCGCAGGCACCCCAGCTCCGACTTATCCATCTGCATGTCTTTCATTTTGGACACCAGCTCTGTCAAAACCCTGCGTGTGGGGGACATGGGTTTGCAGACAATCAGAGCCAAGTTTCTCCACTGAAAATAAGCACTGGGAATATCCTCAGTTCTTCTCTGCAGGAAGAGAGGCATCTTTGAGGCACAGCCATGCCCCACACTGCTGTTCTACAAGTGCATCAGCAACATCCAGGGACCTGAGCATCAAACCTGCTCCTGTTCTCACTTTGTTCAGCACACAGCACTCACAATTTGCACTCACTCAAGGAAAACCACATGGGTTTTCTCCACTTTTTACTGTGTAGTGCAAAACATGGGCACTGTCCTTACACATGCCAGGTAAGAAGTGGTGAGGCAGAGTCCTGCCAGCCAGGGAGCAGGCATGGCAGGGACAATATGTGTGCAGTTGGGGTTTAAGGCTTTGCCATCTAAAGTTCTTGGTGAGCAATATTAGGCCTAGATATAGCTACAGCAAACTCTCGAGACAGGAGCTTTCCTCCCCCTGCACACCCAACCCAACATCTGCTTCTGCAGCTGCAAACCCCTTTCCACTTTTTACCCCATTCTTGTTTTTTACATCAGTCAAACATCCCCTGCCCATTCCAAACTACTTCTGCCCCAAACCACAAAGGGTTTGCTCTAGTTCCCTTAAGGACATGTCTCCCATTCAGAGGGGAAGGCAGAGCCAGCCTGGCCACCCCGGGGCCACGTACCTGTCAAAGATGGAGCCCACGCCAGCGCTGTGGGCACTGCTGCGGTGCACGTGCAGGCCCGTGGCCAGCAGGATCCCGTCCTGGACCGACACGGAGCGATGGGAGAAAGAGGCAATGAGCAGCTCATTCCAGCCTGCAAGCACAGGAGTGCAGGAAACCTCAGGGAGTCTGGCCAAAAATCAGTGCCACATGGAGCAGCAGAGCTGGTTTCTCCCTGCTGGCTGTGGACTAAACTCAGAGGAGAGTTGGCGCCCCAAGTATCAGCTGCACCCCCTTGCCAGCACTGCAAGGGGTGGCCTATCCCTTGGAAATATTTGGGAAATGCTCTAGGCACATGGTGTGATTCTTGGGGTTGTTCTGGACAGGGCCAGGAGTTGGACTTCGATGATTCTTGCAGATTCCTTCCAATTCAGGATGTTCTGTGATTCGATGACCCTGACTAACAGCAAGCAAGGAGCAGAAACTGGCTCAAGGGGAAAAAATTACAAAAAAAGAAAGGGGGGAAATACTCTGGGTTTTCCTCTTAAAAAACATATTCCTAGCAACTCAAACCTCTTTACAAACAACAGATTCTACTGCCCCATCCACAGCCTCTGCCAACTTCTCATCGTATCTCAGACTGGGGGATGTAGGAATGGATTGGCTCAGGACTGCACATTCACCATCCAGCCTGGCTGGCTCTCACACAGCCCAGAGAAGGGACAGGGGCAGCAGGGACAGCCACAGGTGGGGGACACTACCTGCCCGGAGGAGAATGACTTGGTCTTCCAGCGTCAGGTCGGAGAAGTGGGGGATGCGCTTGGCCCACTCGACCAGTGTGAAGAGCTGCTTGTCAGCAGCGTGGCAGATGTTGGTGACAGGGTCATTTGTCTAACAGAGAGTGGTATCAAAAGGAAAAGAGCAGAGGAAAAGAGGAGGATTCATCAGTGAAAGGTCTTTGATAATCACAATCGAGTTAACGATACCCAACGCCACAAGTACAACACCCAAACTGCCAATAATCTCAGGTGGGTGCTGTTGGGAAGAGCAGATATTTGTTACCACTGTCCCCTCTGTGGCCAGCCAAGTCAGTCTTATGCCTTGGAGTGGCCACCTAGAACAGAGGCTAGCCAAGATGAAGAGAGTAAAAGTGGGTATTTATTAAAGGCCTTCAACAGGCACACCTTGGGCAGCCAGAAGCCTCCCAGAGGCTATACCCAGGATGGATGATGCTCATGAGTTTTTCAGAAAATTATACGTTTGGTCTATTTACATATCAGGGTTTAATCCTCCAATTACACGTTCAGATAATGAAGTCATATTCCCCCAGTTTGCTGCTCCCCATTTCACTTTTTGTTGATACTTTTCAGGGTCTGAGGCTGTAGGGTGTCCTTGAGTTTCAGGCCCAGAGGGATTATTTTGTGTGACCAGAATGTGGAGATAGTAGCTAACACTCTGTATGGAGTCTAGAGTTATACACTAAAGCAGTACAGGATCTGAAAAATACAAAACCTAAAATCCTAAGACATTGAGCTGGTTGCTGAACTTTTCTGTTTGCTTGTTGCCCTTTGCATAGCAAGTCCCTTGTGGCCAGCTGCAGTCCTGCTCCCCAGGGCTTATCGAAAAGGCAGGGAGCAGCCCCCAAACAGGCATGAGCACCAGTTTCATCCAAACCAGTAAAACCACAGCAGTAATCCTGCTGTGCTCAGCTCCACCCCAGCCTTGGTCACGGGGGCAGACAAGAAGTGTTCAGGGCTATATGCACGTGTGAAAGCCAGCACTGGGCTCTCAGACTCTCCAGCATCTCCAATGAGATTCCTCATTGAAACTAAAAGAGACTTGGGGAAAAATGCTTGGAAAATAACATATAAGCTATTTTCTAGCTGTCATTCAGAGTAGCTTCAATAGAGAAACTGCTGGTGATTTTTTAGGTGGTGTGGAGTAAAGCCCTCTTGTAAAATGCTTGTCGTTCACACGTTGCTTGTCTGCTCAAATCCCAGCTCAAATCTCTGGCTGCAGGTGATGCCAGGGGCTCTTACCGAGCTCTCTGTGCCCACGTCACTGTATGCCTCTGTTTTGGGCTCCACTGCCAGCTCAGCTTCCAGGATCCTCTCCACGGGCATGTCCTCACTGCCACTGCTCGTGGACTCGGCCTCGTTCTCACTGCGCTCCCTGCTCCTCTGCCTCTCCTCCTGCACAGCTGAGGGACACAAACACAGCTCTCCACAGCCACAGCAACACTCATCTGCTCACAGGGGGTCCCCACAGGTGGGGTGAGACCCCCTCAGGAAGGGGAGAACAGAAAATAATTGGGTATTTCAGATGTGCACCCATTGAAATGGCTGCTCCCACACCAAGAACTCTGAGGTGGCTGCAGACCAGTCGCCTCCAAACTTGACCAAAGATTGTGATTTCCAAAGTATGGAGCTTCAGAACAGAGGGAAGAGGAGTTGATACCTCCAGGTGGCAGCCTGGACTCGGCTGTCACTGGGTGCTGGAGGAGGCAGGAGGGAGCCAGCACTCACAGACAGGTTTTTTGTGCTCTCAGCATGATTCCAGCAGTCCCAGTATGCTTTCAACAATCCCACAGCAGCCAGAGCATCCAGCAGCAGGGCTAGACAGTCCCAAACCCCCAGCTGGATTCACACATTCTGCCTTGTCTCATTCCTGAGAAAAATCCTACCCAGTCTGGCCCTGGCATCACCTCTCTTCCTGATCCTCCCCACTAGAAAGTTCCTTCTACATCAGTACCCCAACACCTTCACTCCCTTCTTCCCTCTCTGTATGCTTTCCAAAGGGGACACAGAAGCATGACATTCTCTCTAAAGCTCAGTTTTTAACTCCCAGGGCTGCTGTGTGTGAGACAGGTCAGTGTAGGACCTGTGCATCTTGTATGTCAAACCTTGTGTGCAACAGAAGTCCTGGCTACGCTTTTTTCTTTTAAGAACTCCCAAAGGGAAATACAACAATCCTTCTTAAGCAGTGACCAGCAGGTATTATATTTGTTTGGTTCACTGCTGGGGACAAATGGCAGCACCCAAGGAGATGGATGAGTGGGGCATCCAGCCTGGTGCTTGTGAGGGAGGGCAACACAAGACACAAGTATATGCCAGCCTGCTGGGGGAACACTTGTCCTCTTTAGAGCAGTGGACAGGAAAAGGCATGCACGTGTTTCTGAAGTCACCAAAATCTTACTGGAAGAAATAACATGGCAAGGAAATGCCAGTCCCATCACTCAGCCCCTGGACACAAGCTGCACTCTGTCCTCAGTTTCTGCAGCTCCCAAAAAAAAAAGCTCCCTGTGATTGCTGCAGGCAAACTCCCACAGGATCCACCAGGATCCTGGGGTTTAAATTTTCACTCTCTGCAGAAGGAAGTTGTGCTAACACCCTGGTCCTCTGAACCACTTTGCACCTGGCTGGAAGAGGGAGCTGTGCCTCGGATTAAGTTTTTGATTCCAGCCTGGCGTTGTGCAGTCCCCTGCTGCCCTGTGAGCTTGAGGCAGCACAGCTTTGGTGATGCTGCAGGACGAGGATCAGCTCATGCTCGATTTTACAGCTGCTTCCCTGGGCAGCTCCATTACTTTAGCTTAGAAAAAATGAGCTTAAATACTGTGTTGGTTGTCACTTCCTGACCTTGCATAATTTGGGAGACAATGCAGCTCAGCAGGTGAGGCTAAGAGTGGAAATGACAGAGAACTATAAAATAAGAGATAGAAATAAATCACTCACCCTTATCCTCCAGTACAAGAATTAGGTGGTGACAAATGAAGTCAGCAAATCAAAAACAAAAAAAGGAAGCTGCTCTTCATAAAGGAGACAAGAAGTCTGCAGGACCCCTCACTGCTGGGTGCTGTCCCCAGCAGAAGTTTACAGGTTTCCACGGGGTCCAAGCCATTAAGAGTCACTAACTATAAGAAAGGTTGGGTCAAAAACAGTCAAAAGCTTCAACACTCACCAGCGTGTGCGATTAGGTGAGAAGAAAACTACACTGTAAAAGCTTCCCCATCAGTCTCTTCCCTTATTAGCCCTTATTAGGAAAAAATTCTTCACAGAAGGGGCTGTCCAACATGGGAACAGGCTGCTCAGGGAGGTGGCTGAGTCAACATCCCATAGGTATTGAAAGGACAGGTAGATGTGGCACTTAGGGACAGGGTTTAATAGTGGAATCTGCATTGCTGGGCCAATGGTTCCACTTGTGACGTTCCCCACCTTGCACAGCCCCCTAAATATCCCAGGCTAGCTCAGAGGGCCTAGGCTGTGAGGGGAGGAATATCAGGAGATGGCAAAGATTTCCACAAGAGGCTCTTACCCCAATATATGTTGGTTCAGCTCTCTTTATTCTGTGATGTTCATGTGGAGAGCGGGGCAAAAAAGGACGATCAGGAAATGTCAGGGGGTCTGTATAGACTTTGGACAGGGAGGGCTTCTCTGGTTCTCCACCAACCCCATTGGGGCAGGAAGGAGGGGTCCAGGGTTGTCTTGATCAGAGTCACAGGGGTCCCAGGGAAGGGAGCACAGAGTGCCCATGAGCTCACTGTAACACACTTGATCATAAAATTCTTTTCCAACCTAAACCTCGATTCTCATTTCCTTTACGTAATGAGGTGCAAACCCCCACCCCGATACCCTCAGTGTGGGTTTTTGGAATGCACCGGCCTTGGAGGATCACCAAGAGCCCGATTTATCCTAATGAACAAAGGGAAATTTCTCCAATCCCATTGCTTCCAGCAGCCCCAGTCCTACCTTCCCTCTTCATCCCCATGGCGAGGCACTTCTGATAGCGGCAGTACTGGCAGCGGTTGCGCTGGCGCTTGTCGATCAGGCAGTCCTTGTTATCCCGGCAGGTGTAGATCAGATCCTTCCGGATCGTCCTCTTGAAGAAGCCTTTGCAGCCCTCACAGCTGTACACCCCATAGTGCTTCCCTGGGGAGGTAAGGGAATCCCTGGGCAGGCAGGTATTTGGCCTTTCCTTCCAGCATGGAGGAGCTCAAACCAAATCATCCAAAGGTGAAAAAACTGCAGGGTATCACCTTGGCAGGCCTGGAGTGGCTTCAGTGAGTCCTGGCAGCAACAGTGACCAGCAGCAGTCAAACCATGGGAGCACTGCTTTCCTGTGATAAGGAGGGGCTGCATGCCAGTGGAGGGATGTGGAGCATCTCAGCTGCAGAAGGGCCACAGGCAGCAAATGGGGTGCACTGATATGGAGGGGGTTTGCAAGGCTCACTGGGGTACGAGAGAAAGCCCAGACACAGCCAGAGCCCAGCTAACACAAAGCACAGGGAAATGGGAACACAGAGATTTTGGCAGATTTACTTTGGTAAACAGGGACAGAAGGTAAAATGAGGTTATAGACACGAGGGAGAAGAGCACAGCATTTAGGTTTGCTCACTTTTGGGCACTAATGTGCAATACAGACAGCCAGACCCAGCCACGATCTTGCCATGCCAGTACAGCCCCAGGGAGCCTCCACGCTCTTCAGTGCTGCACAAGAGCACCAGGACAGCTCTCACTGCACAAAGCCTTCCCCAAGAAAGAAAACCTCCTACCTGAGGACCTGTCCCCACAGATGGCACAGATGTGTTTGGCTAGGGATCCTGGACTTGTGGATGGATAATTCATGTTCCCCATCCCCGGGAGACCTGGCAAGGGCTTGACATCCTCCGAGCTGCTGATGTTGTTCAGGACATTGAGCTGCAGAAGCCACAAGGCAAGTTAGAGGAGAGAGACTCACATCTCAGTGAAACCATCCCCAAATGGAGCTGACCCTTCCCTCCTGCCTGGCTTGTCCCACAAGCTTATCCCCATGGGCAGACAGACATCCTCTGCTGAATCCAGCAGGCACTAAAGCAGATACTGCCTGATGTTGTAACCAAAGCAGAGCTGGAAAAGGACAGGCAGTAACCTCAGCTGCTCAGTTACAGCCTCCAAGCCATGAGGCTTGTGGGATCCTGGCTGCTTCATTAGAGAATGCTGACTGCTGCCTGCTGGCAGCTGCAAGCACTAACAGCTTAGTAAAGCAGAGCATTGCAGACAGGCGATCTGTTACAATCAAACCTGCACTGCTGCATGGCTAGGGGAGCTGTAATGGCGTTTAAAAAAAAAAGGAAAAAATAAATAAAAATTAGTGGGTTAGCTTTCCTGACTCATAATATCTGCATATGCACATGAACACATGGCCATTTGGTGACTCTCTGGGACTTAGGTTCCCAAACACTATCATAGGTGGCAGATTTGGGGTTACTGGATTATTTAAAAAATAAATAAATAAAAAGATCAGGCTGAGCATCTAAAAATCAGCGGTTGTGAGATGCAGGAAAACGACACAGAGCCCCCAGCTGAGTTCCCCAGGAGCTGCTCCTGGCTGCTGAAGTTAAAGGTTACAAACCCACACTGATTAGAGACCAAAGCCTGACGTTGCCCAGGGCTTCATTTTATTGCTGTTTGCTTTGGAGCCACGTCGGGCAGGGCAGGGAGGGCTAAGGGCCATTGAGCACATCTTGTCAAAAGCTGTCTGGGCAGAACAATCCCCCTCCAAGCCCACCATTCACCATCAAATCACCTTCCCCACTCTCATGGGTTGAGGGCTGGGGATGGTTGTTCCATCCCTGGGTTTGTTTGGAGCAGTCATGCCAATTTATCAGCTCAAAGAAGGCAGAAGCAGGGATAGAAAACAGGTTTGGATGAAGACCCAGCTCGAGCCTTCATTCCAGTCTCTGCAACATTTAAAACAGTGGATTTCATGCATGTTGCTGAAAGTTCTCCATTTGCTTCAAGAAACTGCACATTTCCCACTAAAAAGAGGTAATTTCCACAGTAAATTTTGGTAAAGAACAAGGGTTCATCCCATTAGAATTTTTGGACGAGTCATTAGAAAAATAAAAAGGTGAAGCCTGTTCTCATCTTCCCTCACTGCTATCCCATCATTTTCAAAGCTTCAAAGGTTTTAGTAACACGGAAAATAAAAATTATCCAGCAAAAATCAGGAGCCAAGTTGTTTTGCTCCACTAGGACATATAAGTGTATTGGGAAAAATTGCCTAGAGGAACAAAGGTTTGATCTTCCCAGCAGAGACTCAGACCAGGCTCTGGCAACTGTCAATCCTTACGCTTCAAAATCCAGGCCAAGGAAAGGAGAAGTAAACCCCTTCCTCCCCACAAGTGTCCATCAGCAAAATGCTGAGCCAGAAGGAACTTTTTATGGTTTAAAATGTTACTCAGAACTTGGGTACCACCTTTTCTTCCTCCCTGCCAGCACTTTGAAACAATAAAAGGGAGAGAGGGTCCACGGGAGGGGGACACACAGGGCAGTTTTAGCCCTCAGTGTCCTTAGAGCTTGGCTCTTGCAGGTTAAGTGCAATCATGTATGATATCTGGGACAACTGCTTGAACCCAAATCCATTAGCTGCCTCCTTGCTGAATCCCCAGGGCCCAGCTGTCTCCTTGCATTAGAGGCAACACAAATGGAACCTTCTCCTCGGATCTGGGAACTTGGCATGGAGCCCAGGTTGGGGAAACCACTTCCCAGAGCATCCCCAGTCCCAAAGGAAAGGCTTCCAACCAGCCAGTGCTGCTGCCACAGTTTCCTGTCCAACCATCCTGTCTTTGATGTCATGGGCACAAATACCATCAGATCCATTGGGAACAGCCAGTGGTGCCAGGGGAAGAGGGATCCTCCAGCATTCCCACTGCTGACAGCTGGGGCCCACACTGGAGTTGAGGATGCTGGGGAAAGGTAAGCCAAATCCCATCCTCTTTTCAGAGCTCTTCAGCTCATGCCATCCTCTCCCAGCCTTCCAGGCACTAGGAAGAGCTTCAGGCATTCCAAGGAGTAGCAGCAGGGTATGGGGTAGAAAGGGCTTGGGGACCATCTCCTTGCTTTTTCCAACAGCAGGAGCCATGGGGCTTCTGAGCACTTCCCACCTTCAGGTGCCACTAATAAAACACAAAACCTTGCTCATAAGAGGCAGAATTTTCACTTAGATCCGGATGCTCAGAACATTTCAGCTGTCTGTCGAGATGCCACAGTGCCACCAGAAATGCAGGAGGCTTTTGGAGCGGCATGTCTCCATCCCACAGAGCCACCCTGGGAGGCTCCCAGCCCACCCACCCATGGCTCTGGGGAGGCACCAGCCCTAACACCTGGGTCTCCCCAAACCTCAGCAGCCACGCGAGCACGGGCAGTAAGGATGGGAGTGCTTCATTGTGCTTCAGGCCAAGTTGATATGCAACACAGTAGGTGGCTGGCATTTAGCATTAACATTTGTCTCTGCCTAGAAAGTCTGTCTCCTTTCCAGAACAACCAAACGAAGCAGATATGCTTTTGCAGGAGGAAGGGCAACGTTTCACGTGCTGCAGCCTGTGGCTATCCTGTCCGTTTCCATGTTACAGTAATTATACACTGCAACAGATGCAGCAGAGGGGAGCTGGACTGCACCCACGGTGAGAACAAAGCTGGAAATTAGCTCTGTTCCCTCATCCTGCAGGGTATTTTAAAACTGGTGTGGTCGCTGTGTCTGTGCAAGGGTGATTAATGCAGAATCATGGGGAACTCAGCTGGAAAGAGCAAGTGGCCAAACTCCCCACTAGCCAATCCTCTCCCTCAACGTTTGGGACTTCACCCATCCCGAAGAGCGAACTGGAAGGGAGAAAACATCTCACCCCCACCTGTGGGCTGGCGTGGGCCACGAAATTCATGCCGGGGGCCGAGGACAGAGCGACGGGGTGGGAGCCCAGCGAGGAGGCGATGACCCTGTAGGGCGAGCCCAGGGCGCTCCCCGGGGAGCCGACGGCACCCATGGGTGACGGCAGCGCCCGCGCGGCGCTCCCGGGGGGCTCCAGGTAGCTGGGGGGTCCCTCCACCACCGGGCTCCCCGTGGGAAGGCCCGAGGACAGGCCCACGGCCGTGGGGCTGGCGTGCACCGGGGAATCTGCGGGGAGAAGCGGAGAGATGAAGCACGCCCGGCGGAACGGCATCAGCTGGCCGGCCACGGTTGTGTCAGTGCCAGCCCAGCCTCAAAACCAACCAGCAAGGCGTGCTGTAAAGGGAAAAGAGCAGAAGTGTTGGTTATAGTACAGGAAAATGGGTTATGTACTGTTGGAACCCTGGTTGCTGAGAATTTTAGACTTTCCGTGCTGACCCCCAAGAGAACACTACATTTAACTTGAGACCATAGAGAAGGCTTCCAAAATTAAATTATAAAAGATTATAAGTGTGTAGTTTGAATAGAAAACTGTAATATCACATAGTAGAAAACTTAAAATTTTAGAATATAGTAATATATATATAAAAAGAGAGAAATTTTAATGTGAAAACTAGTCTTTCTCCTTCACCTTCTTCCTCATGAGTTTGAGCAGTATTGTATAATTAAATAAAAAGTCCAGCATTGAAAGTCACGGGTAATTAGTTATTGAGTTAAAAGTAAAAATAATTTAAGTGTCATTTCTTAATTAGACAGTTTATCTTTAAAAGGCCTTGTAGAGAAAGAAATACAACTCCATTTTTAGCTTGCTTGAGTGAAGTACTGTAAAACTCACACTTTGTGAGACTGTAATATAGATAAGAACTAGTAAACATCTAAGTCCAAACAAGAAATACCGTCCCACACATTTAATCCTGACCTTAGCAGAAGAAATAAACTAAAGAATCCACAATATGCAGCAACAAAGCTTATTGTGGAGATAATGCTTAATAACAAAATATTCCTTCTCCACTTTGGTGCCTGAGCAGACTTGGAGGAAGGCACCACGTGCCTGCCTGCCTCAGGCTGGTTTTCAGGTTTCTCTGCACTCTTCCCTGAGGTCCCATTTCTTTTGTCCAAGGCAGCTCTAGGGACAGCATGCTTCTGAACCCTGAAATCCTCACCAGCCAGCCTGGAAACTCTGAATGTTCCACACGTCTTATGGAGCCTCTCTGCACCTTGAGGTGGCTCTGGCCTTGTGCTCCCATGGCTCAGTTTTCCCCCTTCCCACCTGTGGGAACGCAGAGCTTCCCTCTGGCTGCCTGGCAGGTCTGGGACCCTGGCAGGGTCAGGAAACCCCCCTGGACAGAGTCCCCAGAAGCTCTGAGTGTTTGATATGAGTAATAATTAAGTGTGGCACAGATGCAAAAGTAAAATTTTAGGATTCTAAATAAGGGGTTCAAAGGGGACAAGATGGAGGAAATTGGGTGTGCCTTGTCCTTTGTCTCCTTCTTCATGCCCTCCATGTCTCACTGTGGTGTTGGCATTTTTCTGTTGGTTCAGGCTGGGGACACACTGTCCAACGTAGGTGACAGATATTGGCACGTTATTGTAAATGCAGCCCAGGGAGTTTCTGGTATTTAATGTTTGTAACATCCCACTGAGGGCAGAGCCCCACACGCTGCCCTGCAGGACAGAGCTGGGCAGGGCAGCAGAACATGTGAGAGATAAACAGAATAAACAACCTTGGAACCAGTACAGACCAATTATGGCTTCTTCTTTGGCAGTGGGGCTGAAAGACGGAGACTTTCTACAATCTCAGGATCATCAATACCTCGGATTCCAACATCATCCATGTGTGCCTCCCCTGTGCCTTTTCACATGTTCCCTCCCAAAGCTGGGTGCCAGCATCTTCCACAGGCACTGGAGCAACCCAGGAATGGCTCATGACACACTAGCAATGCAAATTTCAGGACAAGGCAGCCAGAAAACAATTTGTCCTTGATTTTTCCTC